CTCGGCGCCACGCTGAAGCCCGGCAGCGCAGGACTGTGGCGCAGCGGCGAAGGCGCGGGTGAGGGCACGTCGGATGCAGCGCGAAGCAGGTTCTTGTCGACCGCGCGTTCGCCCGTCGCATTGCCACTGCCCGTCGCATCGCCACTGCCTTCGGGTGACACGCTCGGCGGCGTCGGCCGCTTGGGCAGGTTCGGCGGGCTCGGTACGGGTGCAGCCGGCGCGAAAGAGTCGCCAAACCCTTCGATCAGAGGTCCGACCTTGGCCGACTGCGCCGGCTGTTTCGGCTGCGTCGGTCGCGCCTTCGGCTCGGGGACGCTCCACTTTGCGCTGCCGTTGGGCGCAGCGTCTTTGACGATGGGTTCGGGCGATTTGCTCTTGACCACATCGTCGTCGGGCTTTTGGCTCGGGGCCGCATCGGTGCTAGCAGGGGGCTTGTGCGGACGACCGCGTCGCATGGGAGTGATGCTCTGCTTCTGCAGCTCGAGCTCGCGTGCTTCGGCGCGCTCGAGCTCCTGCTGCGTGGGACCCGTGGAGATGAGGTTGGCATCCACGCCGTCGCTCACGGCCGTCTTGGAAGCGGGAATCGACGAGTTGGGCGCCTTGCTGCTGCTGGCCAGCACAGGCAGCGGCCCGGCAATCTTGCCGCTCGCCGCTGCCGTCGCATAGTGCACCGCGGAAGAGGGAGGGCGGGTGCCGAGGATGGTGTGCACGTTGACGATGACCTGGTCGATGGTGGGACGGTCGGTGCTCTGTTCCTTGAGCATGGAGTGGATGAGCGCCTTGAGGCGTTCCGAGTAGACGGGCTGGGGCGGGATGCGGTACTGTACGTTGAGGATGGCGAGTGGGCCTCCGCCGTTCTCTTCGAAGGGGGTGGTGTAGTAGCAGAGCTTGTAGAGGAGCACGCCGAGCGCCCAGATGTCGGCCTTTTCGTCGATGACGCGGCGCTGGTAGACGTCGACCATCTCTGGCGCTCGGTACTGGAGGGTGGTGTGCTTGTTCAGGTCGGCCTCTACGCGCTTGACCTCGTCGATGCTCTTTGCCGGGCTGCGCGAGAGCACGGGCGCGGCGGAGCCAAAGTCGCACAGCTTGAAGGTGGCCTTGAGGTTGGACGAGGTGGATCGGGAGCCGGGGACGGTGGCTGGGTCGGTGGAGGGCGCCATGAGGATGTTTTCCACCTTGAGGTCGCGGTGCATGAGCGGCGGGTCGAGGTGGTGCATGACGGCGAGGCCTGCGCAGACGTCGCCAAAGATCTTGAGCACCTCTTGCTCGCGCAGACGGTCGCGGAGGCGTGCGTTCATGAGGCTGATGATGCCGCCGCCGGAGCAGTACTCCATGAGGATAAAGATCTCGTATCCGCCGCTGGGGAGCGCGGTGGCCGAGGCCTCGATAAAGTGGACGATGTTGGGCTGGTTGCGCAGCAGCTTGTGCACCTCGACCTCGCGTCGCACGTCGGCGAGCGCAGCCTTGTCCGGCACCGCCATGCGTTTGAGCACATGCACCGTCTCGCCACGCTCGGCAGCGGCGCTGGATGCCATGGAAGCGCCCACGGCGCCGGTGACGGACGACGGCATGGGGATGGGCTGTGCGGTGGTGACGAGATAGACGTGTGCAAAGCCGCCTTCGGAGAGGTAGCGCTTGACGGTGACGGTGATGTTGCCCACCTTGACGCGCGTGCCTGGCGCCAAGGTGCCCTTGTAGGGCTGTTGTTGTTGGTGTTGTTGTTGTTGCTGCTGCTGGTGCTGCTGTTGCATTTGCTGCGGATGCGGTGCATAGCCAGCGTGCGCCGGCCGCGAGTACATGTTTGCCGGCTGCGGCTGGCCATAGTGCGACATGGTGCACGCCGCTGTGCGAGAGGGCGAGCGAGGCCCTGGGCGTTGCACGGGTGTGGCAAAGGACGGAAGGCGGGACGCTTTCCGAGCTGCTGTCTAGCTAGGCGGGAGGTGAAGGAGGAGTCGAAGGGCGTGTGGGTGCGGGAGGGTGATCAGGGCTCGGCAAAGACAGAGCGGACGAAGGACAGAGTAGCACGACAAGTGGAGAGG